CCCCAGTGCCGCGCAATCCGTTTGTAATGGAATCTCCGCTCGAAATTAGAAGACAACGCAAAGATCTGTAAGGATTTCACGACGGCTGCTACAAATTTTATCTGACCGCAAAAGACGTTTAGACGATATATCTGAATACTAGAAACTTTGGACTCTTCCATTTGCTTAAGTCGGTAGGGGAATATATATAGATATTCATTCATTCGGCAGTTTCGTACGAGAACATATTGCCTTGATGCACAGGAACTAAATTTTGTGCTCTTAAATGCAAGATCAATTATTGGATATACATTTAAAATAACGAAATTGGATCTCATACCACATTTATAGAACACCACGTACGTACAAATCAATCGAACAGCAAACAATTTTGTATTTTAACTTTTGTATAGCATCACCATGTCTGAAATGAATAGCTGTTTGAATTAGTCTGTAGTAACATAGCATGAGTTGATTCCGTCTAGAAATCCCGATAGACATCGAGGCGCCCTGAAAGATTAGTCATCGGTGATAAGAGACTAAGGTGGATGTGACGCATTCATTCCGGGAAATATGACGTGTTTGTTCTAGAACATTTGGGAACACCCAAGAAAAAATTCTAGCAAGATTGTTGTTTGCTTATAAGCAAATCGGAGTTTTGTTTAGCACATTCAACTTGTTTAGAGAACCCTACCACAAAAATTTCGATAAAATTGCTTTATAAATCATTGCTTTTATTTCAAAAACCGTATCGAGAAAATGTGGAGTTTGATTCATTTTGATCGTGTAAGTAATTTAGAGAATATAGAGTAAAGCCTTCTCCTCATTCAAAAGATCATTTGCAATTGTGACTAAAATAAAAATTTAAAAAGAATTATGCAAACCATATCGGAAACGATAGGCACCACAATTTAGATAGAGTAGTAAATATTTGACATGATTTTAAATATAGAACGCATTTAATAATCGACCAATTACGATTATTATTTTAATTTAATTTTTGAATAATATGCCGTGTGTTCATGCAATATGTAATACTATATTATGTACTTGCCAAAACTCTATTACATACATGTCAAATATCATTAGGCCTGTGTATTCCGGAGATTGAAATTAGTTGCATTATTTTGAAAATTACCCGAACTTTTCAATCGGCAATCAATTTCGTTTGTAATTCAGGTCGTTTTTGTAATTTATTTCTGTGTACATTGTATGCAGTTCAATCTCACATTAGCATTTATTACGTATTTGGTTTGATTGTAAAACACTCCCACAAGATCATATGTACAGTGTGTCCTATTTTGGTTGAGACCGTAGTGTATCTCAGCTATTTTTAAAGATAGATACTTGCGGTTTTCGCGACTGTTTGCTATTTTTGTTGTGAAACCGAGTGTGAAACTTTTAATACCACAAAGGGAATCAATCTAGCTAATACGTTTTTTTCTGAAATACAGAGCGAAAACGAAAAGTGACGTAAAAAATGTTTGAAGTGGAATGACGGTAGAAACATGCCCCTTGAAATTTTTGAAAAATATAACATAATATATGATGTAATATAATATAAATAAAATGTAGGTTGGGTCAGGAAGAAAAATCAAAAAATTGACGTTAAAATATACAGGGTGTTGCAGAACAGCTTCCGGACTCAAAACAGATATTATATAAAAAAACGTTTTTGACTTTCTTACTGTACCTACTTCTTAATGTACACTGCCAAAACTGTTACGAAATGAAAATAACGATTTTACCAAAGAAAAAAAATATTTAGTTTACTTGGACATTTTTTTCTCCGTTTTTTTTTGTAATAAAACCTGGCACAATTTTTGTAGACAAAAAATAAGGTCTTTAAAATACTTATATTCAAAGTTATTAAAAAAAAAGTCGCACAAATTGATGAAACTATGACCAAGAGAAAGACAGATCATGTATTATTAAAACGGAATACACACCTATTTGCTTTTGTAGCATATTCTCTAGAAAGAATGTTGGTCGAGAATTATGTTTCTCCAGCGGGGTATAGGGGGTGATAGGGCGGTGTTATGCGGTTCTTGGAAGCTTTATTTACACTTTTTTGTATTTTGCAATTGTTGTAATTCAAAAATTTTGAGATGAGAGAATTTAGAATGCCTTGGGAAATTAGAATATTGGGAAATGGGAACTTCGGAATGCACCATTTTGTAATTTGAAGCAAAGGGAATTTCGCAATTTTAAGGTTTTCGATATTCTAAGATTTTGGGTTATGATTTTAAGATTTTCCAATTTTAAGATTTTAGCATTTTGCGATTTTGGGATTGGAATATTTTGAGATTAGTGTTCTGTGAATTCGAGATTTATAAAATGTTAGTAGTTTGATATTCTGCAGGTTTGTAAAATTGGCATTACGGGGTTTTTGGAGTTTGGTATGAATTTCGGGTCCTAGGGAATTTGGGGACATTGAGATTTTGGAAATTTGCGATTTCTGACATTGAGCATGCATTTCAAAATTTAAACGGTCCACCCTGTATATTTTTACTTTTTTGGATTCTACAGCTCATTTTACTCTGTATAGTGTGTGTTTGATAATTTAATCAAGACTTTTTCCGGAACCAATTGCGAGATTGGCCGTTAAAGGATCATACCTGTACAAGATTCAATCTTCAAAATTCATGATTCTTCATGACTTATGCTTAAGAATTCACTCATGAGTTTTGAGTGTGAGTGTGAGTGGTTCAATTTAAGATTCAAAGTACAAAATTAAAACTTCAAGCATCAATACCAACGCTACAATGTTTAAATTTCAAGGTCCAAGACTCAAGCTCAAAGCCCTAAACTTCAATATTTGATATTCAAAATTCCAGTCGCAAGGTGGAATCTTCAAGTATTAAACTTCATGATTTAACTTTCAAGACACCAACTTCAGTATATAGAAATTCCAAGTTTTACATTTGAAGTATCAAGAATCAAAACCCAAACTGTATTAAGAATCTAGAAATAAGGTTTACGTCCTGAGCTTCACGATACTAACTTATGATTTAAGTACCAAGGTCCACGTCAAAATCCAAGCTCCAAGATTGGTCAAGGTCAAAACTACAAGATTAAAGCTTCAAGAGCCAAGCACCAATATTCAGAATGTGCCTGAGTCCAAATTCAAAACTCAATGTTTGACATCTAAGAGTCAATTTTTAAAGTTCACGTTTCAACCCTCGATCATCTCACTTATAATATACCTTGTGTCCTAGGTTGAACGCCCAATAAGCAAGCAGAAGGATTCACGATGCCTATGATAAGTACCGGGTGACCCAAATAAAGCTGTCCCTCGGCCATATCTCGAGAACCGTTCGTCATATGACTTAGGGGTAAAAAAAAGTTATTGGGTAAATCAGCCATGAAGAATCGCTGGAAAACATTTTCAAGTTCTAAAAATGACCAACAGAGGGCGTAACCGCCACCTTAAATTTTAAAATTGCATTTTCTGTAAATTTCGCATAATAAACTAAAAAATTTTTTTCGTATTTTTAAAGAGAACCAGTTTATCTAACATTTTTTTGTAAAAACAAAGACTCAGTTATTTCAAAAACAAAGATGGTGTGGGGCGTTCAATTGTTTTTGCAATAATCTGCTTTAACTTCTTAACCGTTTGACCGATTTTAATAAATTTGGTATGGTTGAAAAGAGCATTCCTTGGGCAATGAGAATATAGTTAATTTAGTTGAATCCATCTCCGCCAGGGGCTAGTTTTCACACTATGACCCAAAATCCTAAAAAAATCAAATGGAATGATATGACTTTTTCTTTATGAAAAAGTAGCCAAATTACCAAAGAGGCCAATGAAACCCGTTTTTCGAAATTTCGTTCCTAACCTCAAATATTGGGAAAATGAGATTAACTAATTAATTAATTAAATTGTTTAACTTGTATCTTAAATTTACTTTTTACGTATTTCCGGTATTTTTCGATGGCGCGAAAGAAAAGCTCCCTACACTTTTAGGCAGGCCTTGGAAATTTAAACAAATGAAACACGATGCATTATAAAATAATAACAGCCGTAATTTGTAAACTATTCTGCTGTGTTTACATTCAGAAAGTGCAGTTTTTTGAATTGTAATCTTTTCTAAAATGCCGATTTTTAAGCAAGAAGCATTTAATATGCTGGCGATATATTTTAAGTATTTTCAAAATGCGACCATCGCTGCCCGCATCTTCTATTTGCGTTATCCGAACCGACCACGAACCATCGCCACCAGTATATTAAATACTTCTTGGTTAGAAATTTTAGAAAAGATTACAAATTCACAAAACTGCACTTTCTGAATGTAAACACAGCAGAATAATTTACAAATTACGGCTGTTATTATATATATTTTTTTTTTTTTTTGGTAGGGGGGGAAATGCTCCTTATGCACACTCCAGGTTGAAAGGTCTGGAGTAGTGTGGGGCTCTCCCTTACTCGGGTATACCCACTAAAACCCCACCTAAGGCTTCGGCTTCTATGGCCATTTGCCTATTTCCTCAAAATATCACAGACTTCGTTCTAATAGAATATTACATACAGGTAGGTCGACTCACATACAATACAATATTTTCGATGTGACAAAGTTGGTAACTGACAGACAACAATAAATAACAATTAAATAGACAGCCATTATATCACAGTTTGTGCAACATTTCCACACTTTGGAAAAATCCTATCACCCTTCGACACCCGTTCATCGCTGTTAAAGTTACTTTCCCATATCGGGCATATCCCGAAGTTGTCCCGTATATCTTTGTATCGTGGACAGTTACAAAGTATGTGCTCTAGTGTTAAATTAACCTCACAGTTCGCACATAGGG